TTTGAGTATTAAATTGGATGAAGACATCATTTTCTACCGAATAAGTAAAATACTGAATGATTTTATGCATGTTTTCCTAGAAACATATTTTAATTTTCAAGGGCATCGAATATCAAATAGAAAATTACATACTACGTAAGTATTAATTTTTTTGTAGAATATAGATCTTGCATGCAGCCGAAAATAAGTTCTTTCGAAAACCGACACCCTGCGGTAACTGGAGCATTATAGATTTCTACTGCGTCATGATCAGTTTTACAACACTACTTAATTAATCTTTTCGAAACGAGAACGCATTTCGGAATTTTGGTTGACATTTCAGAAGTCAGCACATGTACTGTATAGTGCTCTGCGCCTCTTTCGTTTGATTTACTGACTTTTTTACTTCTAAACAAAACCAAAAAGAGCCCAGCATTTTAGGAAGGATAGCTCATGCACACACAGATCCTATGGATTTAGATGTGAGCCTCCCTGCTAGGCGGCACAAGTCGCAATGTTGTCTTCTGCAGCGTACAATACAGCTGCCGATTGACCAAGATGACTGTCCATTCGTGGGCACTACTTGCGACTCAACTTACCTCCTTTCTCGAAACTTCTTGTCTCCCGAATAGCACGAAATCTAACACCTTGGTGCCTCAAAGTACAACTGTGGTCTGTAGACTGGTTAGTTATCCAAATCAAACCGTTTACGTCTAGTAAGCCAGAAATGACCATCCCAGTCTCCCTTGTCTTTGTCGGTAATAACACACTACCTCTGCTTCTTTACATTACCTGTCTTGTCATTTTATTTTATTCTTTCTTACAGTCACTAAGCTTACCTTGTTACACCTCCTTATATATTCTACCTTTTGCATTTTTTTCCAAATTAATGACAGTTATTGCGTCTCCTGGTATAGCTCACGATTTACGTTATTTGCACTTTCGATTAACGCTCGCGGTCAATTCCCATTGGCTGTTAGTTCTCTTGGAACGTGACCTTCATTTACTCATCTGAAGACGGTTAATTTAGTTGCCCGAATTTCCTTGACTACCGTTTTTGGTTAGGTTTTCGAATTTTTGCGCCTACTTGTTGCTTACCTTCTAAGCGCATAGAAAGGATTTCGATGCTATTTTACTTATTTTCTCACTTTTTATCGAATTACTTTTGCGTGCATCCGAATGCCCCACTCGTATAAGCCCCACTGTTCCCGTTAGACAGGATCCTCGGGTTATCTGTTGCTGACACTAGGTACAAACCATACCATACCATACATATTCCGCTTATGAAATTCGGCATTGCTGGGGTAAATGAGCCCACTTATCTCTCGTTAGACTGTGGATTCTGGCAAAGGAAAGCGCTGGTAATGAGCGTTTTACGGGAAGGACAGCAAGGCACACAGTAAGTTCCGCCGAAAGTCTTATTGTACGCTTTCGCATGACACGGCAAATGAGTGCATTAATTAAGAAAAAAAACAAAAAAAAACAAATGTTCCAAAATGAAGGAGCTTGAGTAGTGGTTCGAGGTCAAGAGTAGTAATCGTTGATGGCAGTGTGATGTCTGCCAAATGCCTAAAAATGGATGCCAGGAAAAAAACCCCATATGACAGTATCCACAGTCTACTGACAGTTTGATGGGGTCGTTTACACTACTGTTGTTGCAAATCATTAAGCCCGTTTAACGATTATCGCGCAAGTCTACTCCGTGGGGCTCACCACAAAGCTGACTGTAGGGGCAGTAAGTCAAATTTTGCTTATTTCCGGAAACGAAATGAGCTAGATTTATCCTGTTTATCGTGTCATTTGCCAAAACAGGCAGACAGCACTCAGTAGTGCCTTAGGTTTAGTCCGAAGTATTCACTCACGACCATTAGCGAGTTTTGTCTCCGATCTTTCATAAAATTGACCGAAGTAATTCAGCAATGCGCTCAAAAGGAAAATAATAATTCAATGTCGCTAATTTAAAAGGCATTATATTAGTTAGTATTTACATTTTCCCCTCTTCCTGTGAAGGTGCACTTATCTGTTTTTTTTCGACTTTCATTCCCAAAAGCGTACTATATTATACTGCGAATATCTTATTCTCTTATGCGGTGGTTTTCATCGCGTAAATTTACGTCCCTTAACACTGTTAGCCTTCGATGATCTTGTCTCCTTTAATACGCGCGCATATGCCCTTCTTGATCATATTCTGACTCACCACAGCAAGCTATTTTGCGTTAAAATTAGAGCTTCATTGTCAGTTTCTGATCAGTCCACTTCCTTGTGTTTACCAAGGATCTGTTCCGCTTCTACACGTGCACTGCTAATCAAGCCTAAAAGGAAGGTTAATAGGCAGAATGGCATTACCGACAAAGACAAGGGAGACTGGAATGGCCATTTCTGGCTTATTAGCCGTCGTCAGCCAGCCATACCCAAGCCCGAAGTGTGGAACACCCGAGCCTCGAACTCGCGACCTGTTGGTTTAGAAGTCCACGCCTCTATCCACCGGGCCATGAGCCCGTTGCCCGTTGAAGGTTAATGTTCGTAACACGTCCGCACAAAACATTCTTCTGTTTCAGACGTGCATTTCTTATAATATCCCCTCTTTCCGTGAACAATCGAATGTTGAATCTTGCTCTTCCAACCTAACAGCGTTTTTAAGTATAATTTTCGATATTTACTGTCCTCTTTTTACTTGAGGATGTTACCGTCTTAATAAAAACAGATATTAGCAGACTACATAACTTTTTTGTTAGCCAACTTTTTTCCTCTTCTTCCTTTCCTTTTTCCCCCCTTCCTCTGCTGAGATCTGGAAGAATCTTAAGCGTCTCACTGGCCATCGCAAAACACTGGTGTATGTTGATGCTGATTTGGACGCCCTGAATAACAAGTTTACATTTAGTCGCAAGGACTTCCATATTCCCTTAGACGACATTTCCTTATCACCGTGTAAATTCCAACCCGTGTCTGCGGCAACAGTAGAAAAACACCTTTAAAAGGTTCGTGGATCAACAGCTGCCGGACGGGATGGTGTCTCGCCTTTTCCTCTTAAATCTTGCAGTTCTCCGATAGCCCCTATTTTAATGCACCTTATCAATATGTCTTTCATGGAGTCCAAGATTTCCGACGCCTGGCGCACAGTGAGAATCACTTCCACCCTAAAAAGCCCGCTTACTTTGGTCCTTAATCTTTTCGTCCGATTGCCTGCTCCTCCGCAATACTAACGCTATCTGAAAGAGTTGCTCTAAATATTATAAAGCCTTTTTCCTCAAGTTTTGCTGACCCTCTGCAATTTGCATACAAAGCCAAATGGAGTACTTTAGATGCTGTCGCTATTGTGGTCCACTCTGCTCTTAAAGCATTAGACAAGGGTTGCCGCGAGTACGCATGCGCTTTTCTTGCTTACTCCTCCGCCTTCAATACCGTCCCGCGCCCTCTTCTCCTTACCGAAATCTCCGCGCGCGGCTCTCCAGGCTAGGTCGTCTCTTGGCTTAGCGATTATTTTACCTCCAACACTCGATTCGTCCAATATGGCAAGCGGAAATCTACGGTCCACCCCAATGACTATAGTTTTCTTCAAGGTTCCATTCTATCCCCTCAACTTTTCTCCCTCCACACTGACGATCTAAGGTCCCCTAATGACTGTCTTTTGGTGAAGTATGCTGATGATGTGGTTGTTGGACATCCTCTCAAAAGTCAGACACACCTCCAGTCTCTAAGGGATGGCTTAAACCATGCCCTTGTATGATCCGAGGAAAATGGTCTCTTAATGAACAACAAAAAATCAGTTCAGTATATTTTTCAACTGCGGCCCTCTCCTAGTCCTGAATCCTATGACATTCTTTCCAACAAAGTATCCTTTTTCAGGTACCTCAGCGTTACTTTGTCTTTAAACCTCTATTTTTTCCTCCATATTGAGTCCCTATTTATTTAAGTTCGTAAACTGCTTTATTACATTCGTCGTTTACGTTCCTAAAACACAAATCAACTCTTAGTCTGGCGATTCATCGATGCCTGCATTCTTCCTCTTGTCCTATACTGCTCTCCTGCCATTTTTTCTGGTTTGCTTAAAAAAGCTCTTTTAGTTTTTAAACGAGTACTCCGCATGCTCTCTTCTGCTGCTGGTGTTTCTTATCTTTTTTAGTTGACACTATCTTCCAACGGCATTCCAATGCGTTCAAGCAATTTGGTCGTCGGATTATAGATGACGTTGACCATCCCTTGCATTCTAATCTTATTTCTACGTGGTCTTCCTGCCCTATGCGTCGCAGCTTCCGACTTATTTCATGTCGCTAATCGGCTTATCGAACTTCTGTATCACCATTCCTAGCGTGATATTTTACGTGCGAAGATATAGAAATACAGAACCTAAGGTTAGAACTATCCTCATAATAATCGTTTATTTGTGTTAAATTTAAACTCTTGAATAATCTATTAACTTATTAACTGCACAAAGTGAATGAAGTCAATTTTTGCTGAAAAGTTTGAATTTATGGTTTCAAAATAAAGCGACTTCCCTCTTTCTATCTGAAGTATTGCTGAGAAGTGAGAATAATCAGAGATAAATTAAGTTAAGAAAACCTTCCCTGTGTGCACAGAAGGACTTCATACAGTTCCCACAGATGCCATGGCCCAAAGTCACCACGTCACTTGCCCGCATATAATCACCGTTTCCGGTGTCCACCACCCCCATGGCGTTGACTGGCATTTTGGTGCTTCACTCCCCTCCATCTCCCTCAAACCCGGGATACAGCATAATCATCTTCTTTCCCGTATTTTTTGATTTGCTATTTCAATAGCCATGTCAATGCACAGGCCTGAAAAGAAATTATCGACAGTAGATGTATTCTTTTATAAATTTATTTTTAATTTTACAGATCCCTCTCTATGGTCTCAGAAACCGCGGACTTTTCCAACACTTTAACGAGCACACTGATGCTTAACAAAAACAAATTGCATCATCTCCGTCAGTGTTTTAAAACAGACGTACATTTGATAAAGCCACTAAAAGGGTTATATAGACATAAATAGTACATGTAGTTCTAAGAGGTATGCTGCTCGAAGTATTTCAACAAGGCTACTAGTGGCGTCTGTTGTGATGGTAATCCTTCTCTAGGTCCATGAAGGTATACACCTGGCAACTGGTGCATGTGGATGCCCAGCTTCGTCGCTGTCATGCCCACATATGCGTCCTCCATGGAGAACGGCTTGGTGAAGGCTGCGGCTATCGAAATTGCTTCCACGGCCTCCGCGCCGATAAAGTAGCATGGACCAGCGGCGTAGTCCGGATACATATAGAAGGGCATATCGCCTCGCGTAAGGGCCCACTTGTGCTCTGGACTGCGAATGACCTTTGGCGTGCCGTGTATGTGGCCGAAGACAGATTGCCGCAGCTGTCGCTCATCGAAGGCGCGAAAATAGGGGAGCAAAGCTGACACATTGAGGCCATGGTCATCATCCATGAAGGCGACCAGCGGAGCGTCACCCTGACAGGCCACATGAGCATATCGCAGGTTCGCCAGAGTCTTCAGAGTCAGATTATAGTAGGTGTCCATGAAGTCGGTCAGGATGATGTCATCAAAACGGGCGGCCTCATCGTTGATGGCCTCCAGGAGTCGTGATTGGTTGACGGTGTCGGCCGGGACGCCTAGGCTGAAGAGGAGCCCGACAGGACTGGCCAGCGTGGCCGCTTGACGGCTGATCAGCTGTCGCAGTTGAGACCGGCGTTCTGCATTGTCTGGTGAACTCTTGACAATGATGATTAGGTCGTACCGTGCGCGACTCCGATTTCCGGTGAGAGGGCAGATTGACTGACTTGTGCGTAGCAGCACAAGTTTGGGGTTATTGATGGGGGCCTGAAAATGTGTGGTAGTGGGCTTTAAAAACTACGCCAAAATGTATTTTAACCCACTCTAAAGAACAGATGATGTTGGTACAGTGGATGTGCTCTCTCACTAACGTTAACCGAAATCCCGAAACGTATATTTGATAAGAAAAGATTATTTAAGTAGGATCATAAGAATAAATGTCGCGCGACATAATAGCAGGATCCATCACACATCAGAATGTCGGTTTTTGAAGGATTTGCTCGCAAAACCTACACGACTGCTTACAGTAGGTGTGCTTACTTGTGAAATGTAAACCGAAATTTTGAAGTACGTTTTCTATCCGAAAAGACTGCTCAAGCAGTGTTGTAATAATAATTGGTTTGCGCTATAATTTTATATTACTTCAGTTACCACAGAATTTCCGGCTTTTGAAAAAAACTTCCTTCCGACCACCTGCAAAAATTGCATTCTGCAAAAACCTACTATTTATTAAGTACGAACTTTTCCAACCGATTTTCTATGTTCTTATAAATTCAATTATATTTCCTGGAAAACCTGTAAAGAAGTAGTCATTTTTTGAAAACTTATATCTCCTTATTTTATTCCTAAAGTAATAGTGTAATTTTTTTTCAAAAATTTTCGAACTATGAGATGTTTAAGACCGTGAAATGTTGTTTTCTGTATTTACTAATTTTGCTTGTAGAGTTTATAGTATGGTTCATATCCACTGCCAGATTTCATGAACCCTATATAGTCTTCTCCTAATATTGCAGGGTAATATATGATTTTTCTAACACATAGAATATGTAGCTTTAGGTATTACTATCCCGAATGCAAAGGGAACGGCAGATGGGCTTTAAAAGTTCTCGAAAATTGAAGATTGTCAAAGGCGAGATTTATACACTTAGTTTAAAAATAGACTTGGTAGAGGGCATATTTTACTACCGAATGAGTAAAAGCAGGATTATGTTAATGTATACTTGTAATGGAAAATATTTGAATTTATTTGGCCATCCAAAATCAATGAGAGAAATTAATGCTAAATAAGTAGCCAATATTAGCAGAGTGTAGTTTTTGCAGGCGACTGGATGGGAGTGCAGTTAAAAGCGGGAATCCCGAAGTAACTGAATTGCTATGGGATTATGTTGCAATGAGACCAATATCAGAATAATACTTGGGTTATATTTTCGAGTTAGAAAACGTTCTTCCGAAATTCGATTTACATTTCATGATTTAACACATCTACTTAATGTCGAATGAACCTTTCCAATTTGATTCTCGATGTCTTTATAGATTTAAACATATTTATAAAAAGTGCGCGAAAATATTCATTTCTTTGTTCGTTTGGCAGAAAATTGTGTCTTCTGTAAATTTCACACTTAAAGGTTGTGCATAATTCAGATTTTAAAAACTTTCCTGTTTCCGAAATAGTTGAACCTTATCTGCCGTTACACTTGCATTCATGGTTTCCAAATTCAAATTAAATATCTCATCTGCGGGAAAAATTACACATTTATATATGATAGTAAGATGTGGTTTAGGGCTCGTAAAATTTTGCATTGGATGTGTGCTATGTTGTATTCTTTACAGGCAGCATTAATAAAAGTACGGAAAGCATGATTTAGGGGTAGAAATTTCACGATCTCAAAACATCTCATGATTGGACACCTTTTAAAAACAAATTTGCTTCTTCTTAAATTCGGGCTAATAGTTGTCGGCAAGTAAGATTAAAAGCTCAGGCAGATAAAGGATAGTAAAATAATTTGTTCCGAAAAGTGAACCTGCCCTCAAGATAGTCAAGGCAGTGGGAGTGGGAAATGGCCCTTGATGGAGAACTAATCACAAACGTATGTTAAGGGCTTACCCACCATGGTTACGCCAGGCAAAGCTCTTTGGTGCCGTAAAAAAGCTGATAGTTGAATAGGTAAGACATCTAAAGTTTCATCGAAAAGTTGGTCGTGGGAGGTGTTGACTTCTAATCCAAGATGCTGTAAGTGAATACTAAATATTCAACGTTGAATTTTATTATGGTGAACAGGCACAGTTTATAAGGTCAAGGACGCTGTTGGGAACAAAAGTACAACAACAGGAGTTAGTCATATCCGAACTATAATAATGGCACAATTTGAAATAAGTCAAACGCTTTAATGAGGCTCTTCCCTGTTGGTGTCAGCAGCTGGCTTGAAAATAACAAGAAAACGAAACTATAAAGACACCGTCTATCCTCTGTGCAGAAACTGCTGTACAAACCATACCAATATAGTCCATGCCTCCTAGATCAGCAGAAAGTAATTTTCGGAGTCTATGAAGACCTGTGCCGATTTATAACTGTTGACAGACCATGGCCACTCATTTAATAACTGGCGTTTTCAAGAAAAACACACACAAACATATGCAGCATCTTGTGAATTAACAGAGCAGTAGTTGGAGGAAAAGAATTCTCCCGAAGTCTTTCATTCTGTCCGTATATGTGGCAGCTCAAAGCCTTAGCTTGTCTTCAGTTTAATGGCTCCACCGCAAATAGGCTGGTCACGAACTTCGGTGAGGACGCAGTCGAGAAAAATAATTTGGCGTTCGCTGTTCATCGTAAATCAACTTCAAATAACGAAAATATTCAAAAGCAGGGCAAAATGGAAAATAGAGACCTTAGTTTAATTTTTCCTTGACCAGGTGTGCATAAATTGCGAATAGGAGCAGTTTAACCTGTCTGACGAGGTAGTGATTTAATGAGTTCAGTTTATTTTAGGACACTGCTCAGTGCACATGTACAGTACCTGTGCTAACTCATGAAATGCCGAGGTCAAAATTATAGTGGACAATGTAGTGTATTTTTGGTGTCGTTATTTGTGTTTATTTGGTTGAAATAAGGACGAAAAGTCCGTTTTCTGAAGGAAAGTTTGATACGG